GCAGGAAGGAGCTCCTGCAGAAGGACCCACACTGACCATGCAAAGTGGAGCCAAACACAGATCCAGGGATTTGCATTTAAGCAAATCCCAAACGAGGCATGGTGCTGGAGACATCCCTAAATTCGAAAAACCCATTTCCGCCAGGCTCAGCTGGAACTTCCCCAGGGAATTATGAGCACAGGCTTCACTCTGCTCTGGGGAGCTGATGAGGGACAGATCTGCCCCAAATTCCTGCAGGATCTGGGAGCTGGGACTCGTCAGCAGCACCAACAATGGAAGCAGGTGAGTTCCAGCAGCTCAGATCTTCCCAAGCTGAGGAATCTTCATGGCAATATCAGGGAAGGAACAAACTGTGCTGTCCTTGGGCTCCCATTGAAAAAAAAAAAAAAAACCCAAAAAAATTTGTCTAGAATAGATATGTGACATCTTAAATGTCCCAAGAATTTAATAGTATCAATTAATATTCTGCCTTTTCCAGGCTGAATTTATATTCCTTCACAGAGCAATGCTTTATTCTTATTTTTACTTTTTTTTTTTTTTTCAAAAGGCAGTTAGATCAAAGTGATGTGAAATTGGATTCAGTTTGCTTGGAAATGATTTAAACTCAGGCCTGAATCAGCATTTTCTTCCCCAGTGCTGCCAGTGGCAGAGTTATCTGAAGATTTTTGGATAATCCACTGGCACCAACAGGTCCAGCTGTGTGACAGCTTCAGCCCAGGGTTAGAGGGCTGAGTGAGGCTGAATTAAAACAATTTGGGCAGAGGAATAAGTGAGGATGTGAGAACAGAACAGCAGAGAGATGTGGAAATGATTTTCTAATGCCTTCAGAGCACAGCAAAGGGGTCAGGAAACCTGCAGAGCACCAGGCCCGCTGGAATTCCTCCACCTGGGAGAGCTGATGTCCATTTCAGGCCACTTTTGTTGCTTTTTTTATTTTGGTACTCTCCTCTCCACCTCGTTTTTGGGAATCTCTCCCTTGCTTTGTGTTTGCTTTGTGCCTGGCCTTGGCTGAAACTCTCTGGTCAGCACTCAAACACCAACATAAAATTCCTCTTGCCCAAATTTGCAGCTGCTATGACCTCAAAAATAATTTAAAAACCTATTTGGGGCAAGGCCAAGACAGCAGTGTGTTGTTTAAACCCTCCCACCTCTCCTGGTATGTGTGTGTGCACACCTGGAGCCACAATGGCCCCAGAAACGGAGCCAAGGGACACATCCTGAGGGGCAGAAGAGCCAAATGATAAATCCTGGAGATCAAACACATCAGCTGTGCCCTGGCAGTTTGCTCTGCCTCGGGAGAGCGTGCCTGTGTGTTTTCCAAGGGATTAGCTTCAAAGGCAGGCAGGTTTTTTCCGGGATAATTCAATGAAAGCCCCCATGGAAGCTCCTCCCTGGCTCCACAGGTGCGAGCTGGGTTCTGGCAGGATGAAAAACTGTCCCTGCATTGTCCCCCAGCTCTCACCTGTGCCACAAACTCTGTGCAAAGCCCAAAATCCAGCCCAGGCTCGGCGGGAGGGCAGATCCCTCGTGCCAAAGCCACCCAGAGCTGGTTTGGGCTGTGCTGGGCTCCAGGGCAAAAACCAGAGCCAGACCCTGCAGGTGCCAGGGCAGGGAGCCTTTGTGCCTTCCCAACAAAATATTCTATTAATATCAACACACAATATTTAATTAATATCAATATTATCTATGTATTTATATATATTAAATAGATTTTCTACATTTTCTCTCTATATATTTCTATATATGGGAATATATAATATATTAGATACAGTATGTATATTCCCATTATATATACATATAAGTATACCTAACATTAATATGTTAGATATATTATGTATTATATATAATATATACTTATCTATTATCTATAATCTATAAAATATATAACGTATATAATATACAATATATAAGGGATATATAATATATAAGGTATATAATATATAATGTATTACATATATATTATATATTATATATTATATATTATATATTATATATTATATATTATATATTATATATTATATATTATATATTATATATTATATAGAAAATAGAAAATATATATATTATATAATTATACATATAATATATAATAGATAATTTATATACCTAGAAATATATATATATATTTAGATTACAAATACTGCCATATTTCTAGATCTAAGAATTGCAGATTTGTATTTTCCCCTCCCAACCCGCCGCACAGAGGTGCTGAATTTGCCTCTCCCGGCTGCTCTGTGCTCTCGCTGAACCCTGGCCTCGCTCAGTCCCTGCAGATTTCGGCAAACGCGTGTACCAAGGGGTGCGAGTGAAGCACACGGTCAAGGATCTCCTGGCTGAAAAGCGATCCCGGCAGAGCAGCGGCTCCCGCTTCAGCGTGAGTCCCGTCCCGTCCCGTCCCCCACTGCTTTTTTAACCCCATAAATTCCCTCATCCCACCCTCTGCTTCAAAAACACTCTGGGACACTATTGATAGAATTAATAGAATTAGTATATTGATAGAATTAATAGAATTAGTATAATGCATGCCCCAAAACATGATGGTTCCTCGACTTTCATATCTCTCAACCTTAAATGCCTCAAAGCCCCTTTTTTTATCTTTTTCAAGCATGGCAGTGATGTTACATTCCCTTTTCCTTTCACATCCCACGTGTGACACCTTCCCAAGCCAAATTCCTTTTCCAGCAGCTACACTTGGACAAGTCAGTGCCCTGAAAATATCTGTCCTTCCCCGAATGCTGAGCTCCTTCCAGCTCCTCTCAGGGTGCCAGGGGAGCTGCAGGGATGGGATGGGCTGGAAAGAGGCCAAGCATCAGCTTGGAAGAGATGATTTCCTCTCAAAGTGCTTCTATGGCAACAGCAAACCCAAGTCCTGCTGCACTACATTGGGTTTATGTCTCTGTTCCCAGCCAGAAAAGTGAGGCTGTCCCAGAAGTGGACATGATATTGTGGTGGCAGGATGTGGTGGCATCCAGAAGGGGACACAATATTGTGATGGCAGGGTGTGGTGGCATCCGGAAAGGGACACAGTATTGTGGTGGCATCCAGAAGGGGACACAGTATTGTGGTGGCAGGATCTGGTGGCACCTAGAAGGAGACACAATATTGTGATGGCAGGGTGTGGTGACATCCAGAAGGGGACACAATATTGTGGTGGCATCCAGAAGGGGACACAGTATTGTGGTGGCAGGATGAGGTGGCAGCCAGTGGCACAAGGAACCTCCCCTGGGTGCTCCTGGCACTCACCTGTGCTGGACAAAGCTCCTCACCTCCAGCTGGGACAGTGGCAGAGGAGGGGGAGCGGGAGCTGTGTCCTGCAGGGAGAGAGAAGGAGCAGAGCCTGGGATCACTGACAGCAGAAATTGGGAGTTCTGATGCTTTTTTCCCCCAAAACCATTCACCTCTGCCTTCTTTTTTATACTGAAGGAGCCTCACGGTGATTTACTTGCTGTGACTTTCAGGCCCATTAACTCTGCAACAAAACAGGCAGAAAAAAACCCCCAAAACAGGATTGAGCATCACCAAACAGCAAAATCCAGCCACTCATCCATCCCCACAGGCTCAGCTGCTGCAGGGAGGCAGAAGCCCCCTGAGGGAAGAGTCACTGGGCAGGGCACACTCCCAGCAGGCAGATATTTAGCAGGAGTTCTGTTGGAATCTCTAGCTTGTCAGAGTGACCCCAAGAAGAGTTTGAAATTCTCTTTTCCCAGCCCAGAGCTTGAAGAAGGAGTCAGGGCTCTTCATTTCTCAGTCTCAAGGTTGTTTATTGTATCTTATCTATAAAAAATTTTCTCCTGCCCTGCCGAGGTCCATCCAGCAGGACAGTCCAAGGCACTCTGCCTGCCCTCAGGGTGGTGTTATGTCTTTATACTAAAAATTCATGTACATTATTTATAATTACTTCCCAATACCCATCACCTATGTCAGACAGTGAGCTTCTACTCTAAACCAATCCAAAATTGCCAACATCACAGCAGAAGATGGAGGCCAAGAAGAAGAAGAATGAGAAAGGCCGGATACACCCAGTTCTCTCCACCTTGCCTCCTGAACCCCCATGCCAAAAACCCCAAAATCTACTTTTCCACCCTGTGATAACCTCACTATTATTCTACCTAAACTGTTGTGGCTTGCTGATCCTCATGGAAGGTTGGTAGTTTGCTCCACAGGTCACAGTCAAACCCACAGGGGCATTTTGGGCTCTGTGCCAGGGTCTCTGAGCCCCCTGGCAGGGATCCTGGCCATCCTGGACAGCCAGAGGGATGTTCTGGGTTCTGACAGAGTTCTTGGGAAGCAGCTGAGAAAACATCTCCTGTTGGTGCTATCACCGGTGACCCGCTCCCTGTGTGGAGGCGGCAGCTTCAAGAGCCACAGAGGAAACGCCCTGGGACTGTAAAACCCTCCTGGATTTATTGCCCTGGGCTTTGTGCTCCGAGCCCAGCATTGCGTGTGTGCCTACCTGATGCAAAACCAGCCCTGCTGCTCATTCCCTGCGAGAGACAAAAAATGATTGTGCAGGGCAAACATCCGTATTTGCTCGGACGTATCATGAAAAGAGCAGCTGGAAGTGCAGCTCTGTTTGTCTGGCAGAATACAACCCAGAAAACAAGCCAGGGGCAGATAACTGAACACCCCTGTGGCTGTTGGTGATGCAGGGTCATTTAGCTGCATCTTTTGTTTGCTTTGCTCCAGAATGAAACCAGCCCTGGGCAGTCGTTGGTGCCAGGCCTTACCACCACCCTAGCCTGAACCTCCTCACTCATCCTCCTCCTTACCCTGGGAGTAGTCTATGAATGAATTCAAGGTGGATTAGAATGAGCAGAATAACAGAAAGTTAGTCTAACTTTGAGTTCAAGGTGGATTAGAATGAGCAGAATAACAGAAAGTTACTCTAATTAAGACAGTTGATTTCGACTAAACAAATTATAGCTCCCACCCTATCACTTTCTTTATGTCCTACCTCCATCTAAGCTTCTCCTCAGCCTTCACCCTCAGCAGAGCAGAGTTTTAGGATGAGGTTTCAACAATTTCCTGGCAGCCAGGCCCTGCACACATGGAGAGATGGAAATCAGGGGGTGCTGTGAGGAAACCCACCCAAAATCAGGGCTCAGGGCTGGGATTTAGGGAGGCTGTGAGTTTTCCTTTGCATAGGTGTGAGCCTGCAGGTGTTCTCTGCAGGGTGAAAGATTTCCTGTGAAAGGATTCCTGCCTTCTCTGAGGTGCCTGCACAGGTGAAGCAGTGCAGTGCTACGGTTTAAAGAGGATTCATTGCTCAGCACTCCCAGGGCAGGGACACTCAGCCAGCACTGCCCTGCCCAGGCCCAGCTTTGCTTTTATGGAGGATTTCTGTTCCTTCAGCTGCTCCACTCCCCCAGAGAGGGGATGCCCTGATGCCAAAGCGCTGCCACAGGTCATCATTTGGAGCTGGATCCCTAAATTCAGGCAGGTTTGTAGGGGATTTAGGAGGCAGTGAAGCAGCAGAGCAATCCCAGGCAGGATCTGTGGCTGGCCATGGGCAGGGCAGGCTGAGCCCAGCTTATCAGCAGCTGGACACACTCTGGGCCCCAGGGAGGCTGAGCAGAAGTGCAGGAGATCCAGGCTCCCATTGCCATGGCAGGCAAAGGAAGCACTGCAGGGAGGAAATGAACTAATGGGTCTCAATTAAGGCAGATAAGGAGCAAGAGGGGAATGAAATGCAGAGCTCTGCTCTGATGAGGCCGAGGCTGGGCTGCAGCAGAGGCTCCTGCACTGAATCCAGGCAGGCAAAGCCCTGGTGGCTCCTGTCACCTTGGGTACTCCTCAGCACAGGTGTGTACACACAGCCAGGCAGGGCCAGGGGCTGTTGAACAGACAGGATCAAAGATTAAATGCTCTGGTAACTGGAAATGATCCCTGCTGGAGGCTGCCAGCCGTGCCCAGGGAGCTGGCAGAGCATCCCAGCTGCCATCCCTGCAGCCCCTTGTGCTCTGGGCAGCAGCTGAACCTCCCAGCTTGGCTTTTTCCTCTAAAAGCAACCTGGATTTGCATGGGATGGCTTCAGCTGGGGACAGGTGCAAGCCCTGCCTGTGTGACAAGGACACTCCTCTGTCCACAAGCCCAGGGGCTCCTTCCTGTCACCTCCTGTCACCTCTGCAGGCCGTGTGGCCCGGGCAGGCTCAGGGCTCATTTCCATGGTGGAGCAGGGAGCAGCTGCAAACCTTCCCTTGCAGCAGAAGGAAGTCCTCAGAGCTGGCAAATTTAATTCAAATCTAAACCTCGAAATTTGGTTGCCTGCTGTGGCAGGAACCTCCTGTTTGCACTATGCAAACTGGACAGAGCGTGCCACCAGCGTGGCAGGGGACGGCAGAGTGACAGCAGAGTGACAGCAGGGCAGCTGGGGGCTCTCTGTTCCTCTCTGGAGCTCCCCAAACCAGAGCTCAGCAGGATTCCAGAGGAGCAGCTGCCTTTGCTCAGTGCTTTGTAAGGAATTAGGCACTGGGAGCACCACTCCAGGGGTAATTCTCCTTCACCTGGGACCAAGAGGAGAGGATGATGATTAAAATAATAATAATAATAATAATAATAATAATAATAATAATAATAATAATAATAATAATAATAATAATAATAATAAATACCACCATTGCTGTAAGACCCAAATAGGATTTAGGAGCTCTCTTTCCACCCACCCTGCCAGGAAGGGCCAGGTAAAGCAGCCCTGGGGCAGCAGAGCCAGCCCAGCTGAGTTGGAATCTGCCCCTTTTGGCCACTCAAGGGTTCAGATCTCTCCTTGCGTGGTTTGTGCCAACAGCCAAGGACTCCCCAGTGTTCTGCCTGCCTTGAGGGACCCTGTGGGACAGGAGGAAGAAGCCAGTTATCTTGATACTCCTCCTCTTAGCAGCTCTGCTCAAGACCTTCACAATCTCTGCTTAGCCTACATCTGTTAATTCCTGTGAGGAAATCATGGAGTTAAACCCTTCCCAGCAGCCAGGCTGAAATATTGTGTGTGAATCCCACTCAGAGAGCTGCCTTGCTTTGGAAAGTCATCCTTTCAAACATCTCTTTATCTTTTGCAGGGCAGCACCAGCACAGCACAGTCACCCTTTGGCCAAATGCCAGGTGAGGTTTGCCCTCCATGCTAAACACCTTCCCTGCAGGTGGGAGGGTTGGCACAGCCCTTCTGTTCGCCCCCAGAGGATGTGGAACAAGCCCCAGAGCAGGGCCACCCCTCAGAGGGAGCCCAGGAGGAAAGGAATTAAAAGAATCAGGAAAAAGAACAGCAATAATTTGTATAAAATCCTCAAAGTGAGTAATTAAAGCAGTTCCCACCTCCTTTAGCAGAGGAGCTGTGCAGAACCCCTCCTTTTCCTCCTGTGTTTTCCCATTTTCCCTGGAGCTGCAGAGAGAAAGCACAAAAGCAGGAGCTGACCTGTTTCAAGCCTTGGCTCTCGGGCAGGGAGAGCAGAGTGAGGCTAGAACCTCCTCCCCAGGGCTGTGGCAGAGCGAGGAGGAAGCACAGGCTGAGCTGACCTCCATCCCCCTGCCCTCCTGTTTAAAGCTCCCCCAACACTTTGGGTTTGCTGCAGATGGAGTCGCCAGGTGGAACCAAAAGCACCTCTGTGCTCACACACCTGTGTCAGGGCAGGGATGTCACCCTGATTTTTTAAGTTTTTCTGAGCCTTCTGTTTTTTGCATTCTTGTAGCAAACTTGCTCACACACTTTCTGTAAATAACTCATTGTTTTGCATTCCTCCATGGAGGAGGAGAAATTTGATGGGCTGTTGGTTTGTCCAGTGTCATTGGAGAGGTGGCACTGTCACCCTCCAATCCGCTGTCACTTTTGGAAATCTATAAGTGTTGGAGTCAGAAATTAAACTTCCCTTTTTACCTTGAGAGCAGCAGTGTGTGCTCGTGTTGTTTGGTGTCCTATAGTGCCACAGGGTGGGTTCCTGGGTGATGCTGGAGAGAAAACAGCTCTGCTTTGCACCCATAGGGGCGTCCATCATTCTGTGGCAGCTGTTAGAATTTTCTTTACACTTTTCTTTTCACTTTCCCACCCCATTTTCTGTCCCCAGGCTCTCCCACCACCGCTGGTTACTACGGCGTGCGCAGACCCTTCCCATCCGAGCTGGATTTCCACGGCACCAAGCAGTTTGGCAGCGATGCCTACCCCTCCCCTCTGGCCTCCAAGCCCTTCTCCTGCGACCCCTCTGCCCCCCAGGGCTGCCCAGCCCTGCTGGAGCCCTATCTCAGCGAGCAGTTCGGGGATCACCGTGCTGCTCCTCCTCCTCTCCCGGCTGCCACCAGTTCCTTCTTCAGCGCTCCGGCCGTGCCCTCTCTGCTGCCATCCTTCCCCGGTGACACGGGACACTTCCTGCTCGTGAGTGCCTCCATGGCTCTGTCCCCAGGGCAGGGTCACCCCCTCTAATGTGGGGTTCAGTCAGGGGGGCTGGTGGGGGAAGGATGTGGCTGTCACAGGAGCAGCCATGGCAGGTGGGGCAGGGCTCTGCAGGGAGGGTTTTCTCTTTGGTTCCATCTAAATGTGGTTTTTCTCCTTGGTTCCATCTAAATGTCCCCTGTTCCTCTTGGAGACATCCCTGGAGACTCCCATTCTGCCCTGAACAGGACACTGCCCCCAGGCTCAGGGTGGGATTGTGCAGGGCCAGGAGCAGGATTTGATGGTCTTGTGGGTCCCTTCCAGCTCAGGATAACTCTGTGATTCTATGGTTTTATGAATCCCTCCCTCCCTGAGGTTCTAGAAACATCCCTTGGTGACTCCAGGCTCCCTATCCCAGCTCCACTCACAGCCCCACCACAGAGCTCCTGGATCCTGTGGGATCAGGGCTGGTCAGTCCTACTGGGACCCTGCCCCAGGCCCTGCTGACAAGATGGAAGTTCCCTTTCACA